AAGAAAACAAAAACAAAAACAATCGCATCCTAAGTGAACATTACTTGTAATTATGAAGAGCCCACAGACTGGACATAATAGAAACCGTTACATAGATCAGGGCAACTTGACTTTTTAGGCTTTTTTGACGGTATAATAATTTAATTTTTATTTAGTTATTTTATTTATTTCTGGCAATGAAACCAAGGATCCCTCAAAAGTGCCCTAGGCACTGTAGCCCGAAAGCCTGAAGAAACCTGTAGAGAGAAGACAATGAGAAGAAATTACAGTTTAAGAGGTGGGAGGAAAAGCCCAGAGGAATATTCTGAGAAAAACCCACGGAATCAGGCAGGGACTGAAAACCCAATCCAAGCCCGGGCTGGATTCGAACCCGGGTCACAGCGGTGGAAGGCGAATAAAGTACTGCTACGCCAACCTGACTCCCCTTGAAATGAACTTATTCTCCGCAATGAACATTGGTAAATATCAATAAGTTGAAGCTCTTATAAACAGCATTAAATACTACGGATGAACGGGCAATAACATACTCAGGGTTATACAATGCAACAACAGTCACTCTCATGGGATTTTGATGAACTTAATAGCGTAATTGTATTGCACGTGTTCTTTCCATTGACGAAATACACTTTATTCAGAAGGAAGCCATTTTCGATCGTGTTTCCTGAATCTACTTTATAAATTGTAAACTGTCGAATGAGATGGTGCCAGACTATTTTATGATTGGCGTGCATTCAACAACTCGCTTTCATTTTTTTTTTAATGTGGCTTAAAATATTAGGATATGTTTAATCACACATTTTTAATTATTGATCAGAGAAGACTATTTGTAATGAACTTTTATTTCATTGCTTTCATTTCTACTCTCAAGCTCCAAATATGAAGAGTTTACCTCACTTTCAATTGAATATGGCCGACTCGTGAACAAAGTCTATTACCATGCCTCATTACCATAATATAACATGGGACAAGTGGACAACAAACACTTCAATACATTCCAGAGTATAGACTTTCATGTTCTTGCAAAACAAATGATTTTTTTTCCACCGGTACCGCTATCATACAGCTTTTTTTTTTACCTAATAGTACATTAAACCAAAGATACTTTAACTACAATAGGGTGCTAATTAAATATCGTATTCACGACTCATAAAGCCCCAAGCTATCACTATAAGGGTCGACCCTCGTATTGTATAACTGTTCATTTTATCAGGAGAGGACTAATATTTGATACTTGATCCACTTTTAAAAATTATTTCAGTTTTCACTTGGCAGCTCGGTGTAATGAATAGTGCCACCTTCTATTTCATTATCTTTCATTATATTAAACAAATTCCCATAGACAGTATCTGGCGAACTGCCACCATGGCCGAACGGTGTGGCCAGCCACATAGCTGTAGGTGAAGCGCACCCCCTGGGAACGACTCAGTAGGTCAATTTATTACCAATAAATTTTAAATGAGGCAGAGTGTGAGAAGGCGCGCACCTTATTTCGAGGTTGACGCGGCAAGGAAAGCACGCGCGTGCGCAGTGGAGGCGGGGTGCACGGACTTTTTTATGAGGAAAATACTGGTCGTTATTACACGGTTGGGCAACTCAACTTGAATACCCATAACGAATTGTTGCTTTAAGACAAGTGAAGGGAAATTCCATTTTGTTTTCGTAACCGGTATACTGAACTTCCCACAATACTGTTACTGTATTATAGTGTTATGCTTGTCAGTATTTGACGTCAAGCAAGTGTTACAAAAGGGAGGAGACACCCGTGTGTACTTAATTGCATTTTTGTTTTCGCGAAAAGATTCCAACAAAACATATCTTAATTTAAAGTTAATGGTGAATTCATGTACGGGATAAAAGGATATAACAAAAACTGTGTGCGTTTAGCTTTTGTTTATAATAATCCATAGTCTGTTAGGACCTATGGAAATGTTAGAGACAGAAAAGTTATATTACCAGTGGATAAAAAATAGTACTGCGTTTTGTCTTTTCCTTTCTTAATAGTAGGACAGATAGGGGAAATATTTGGAGGAATTGTGCCTTTGATGATACAAGCATGGCATTGGGCACACAGTCAGAGTGTGTCACGAGAAAGATATTTGCCTGTAGGGCCATCGCAGATTTGTCCTTTGGAAAAAAAATATAGGTAGAATAACAAACAGTTTTCAAAATTTTCAAAATGGCTGCCATTGCATTGTTATTCTACCTATATGTTTTTCAAAGGACAAATCTGCGCTGGCCCAATAGTAAATTATCTTTCTCATGACATACTCTGACTGTGTGCCAAATTCCATGCTTGCATCATCAAAGGCACAATCCCATCATCCATATGCCGTACTATAAACACAGTACGTTCGTTATTGCTCACTTCAGAATGCTGTTACAATGTCTTCAGATTACACTTGAGGTCTTGTAACAAAGGATTTTTTTTTCAAAAATTTCTGAAATGAAAAGAACATTGACACTTTCGCCCTCCATATAGACCACCAGCCCCGACAAAATATGGTCGTCATTGGACCCACCACCATCATAGAAACGGATCAGTTGCAGACCTGCGTCAAACGCGCACGGGAAAAGCCGCTCTTCCTCAAGGACTTTAAGCGCTGCATGGTGACGTCATCAACCACGACGACAAAGGGAGGTAGGCCGACACGCCCACTGAAAACGGGAAAGGCCAGCACGGTGAACCGTAGTGGTGTTGACGTCGTCTCTCGATGTTTCGTCCTCGAGTATACTAACAATGTCTCAAAACGTGTAGCGACTAACACTGAGTTTGAGTTCCTTGTGCAGCTGGCTAACCATAATTAACGGCTGTGAAAGCATGATCTTAAAATGATGAAAGCTTGTATATATGAGACTAGTGCAATGCATGGTTGTGATCCCAAGAATCCTCGGCGCCCTACTCCTATGCACGTGCTCCCATTGGGCATATAAATCTCATCCGCAGGTATATGGGTTAATGTACTGTAACGTTGTGTAAAATGAACCCTTTTCACAATACAGCAAGGATCGTACACGACTCATACACGGGTCCAGCGTTCTCACTATACCCGGGTAAATTCCAACCCTGGTCGGGGGTTGGAAGGCTTTACCCTGGTAGAGAATCCATAGTGCAGCCTACCCCGGATACAGCCTGGTTAAGTGTGAATGGTATAACTTGCCTACCTGTGTTCGATGGGATCCGGTTGGTTCCACTTACGGTGGGTCTGTGTTGATTGCAACACTGGTATAGGCGAGGCGACATTATGAAATGGCCTAAAGAATCATAAAAGGTTGAACGTTATTTTACTATTAAGTGTATCTTAAGATGTGTGTTATATCAAAAAGTTAAGGGGGGAGGGATGACGTCATCAGACATCTGTTCATTTGGACACCAGTTTTCATCGGTTGTTATGTGTTACCATTCAGCACACCAGGCTCAAGAACCGTTGTGTTTCAAAAACATAGGTCTAGGAGCTAGATAAGCCAATGTAAAACAATCTCGGATGTCCGCGCCCACCTATAGGCGATCGTTGCCAACTGGTTCTGTGGTACCCTGCTGTCAAAGATTGGAAGTAATTGCAGTGCGCCAGATACCAGTTCATCGGGATTCTATTTACACTTGCCCACCTACTCAACACTTGAAACTTGGGTCATTACTTATCCTGGCTTGGATTAGTCTTAAAGCTAAGAATTATTGTAGCAGAAAATTGTAATGTGATGGAAATACCAACACTGTAGTAATATAGGAGTTGATAAAATAAATAAAGTGCCATGGGACGGGGATACGATTTTATTCATTTTAGGAACCTAGGCTTTTAGGACGTAGATCCGTAGCTGATTAACCAAAACAGTTTGAGTTTTTTTTCCATAAACAATAAATTAAAACCTCCTTCATGTCAAGAAGGTATTTTTACAGTGTACCATATTTCTGTTATGCAGCTGTTTAGTTTTTTTGTCAGAAGTATTGTACAATTAATCTCACAATCCAATTTACAAATAAATACTGAAATTACGTTGCTCATTTGGTGGTACCAGTATAAAAAGTTCACTTTGACGCTTTCGCCCTCCATATAGACCCACTCAAACGACCAAGGCACGACATGGTCGTCATTGGATCCACCGCCATCATTGAAACAGAACAGTCGCAGGCCTGCGTCAAACTCACTCAGAACAGCCCGATTTTTGTCCAAGACTTTAAGCGGTGCTTGGGGTCGACGGCCGCGGCACAGGGAGGTAGGAAAACCCCACCGGAACGAGAATGGCCCGCACGGCGAAAACGCCATCTTGGCGTGACGTCATTTTTGACATATTATCTCCAAGCACTGACTTTTGTTCATTTCTTCTTCTTCTTCTCTAACCGACTAACACTGAATTTGTTTTCTTTTTCAGCCAGCTAACATTTTGATTCTTGTTTTCTCGATTCTTGAAGTGCATTAACAGTTTTAACCGAGGCGACATGGCCCGTGCTGTTATCGCTTATAACGCTTTATTAAAAATGTCCTGCTATTAAAAAACCTCTGGGCATGATTGGGAATGGAAGCGTGGCACACCCCGCAAAGCATGGTCCTCACGAGCCTCAGCATACCAATTCTAAGCGCACCCTGACACCAACCAAGATCACTGGTACCCTTCCCTTTAGGACGTCACTTCCGGTCCACAGAGCCCTCAGCTTTGTATTCCTTTCAGACAAAGCAGTTCTTTCACGAACAACTTCCTGAACATTTGTCCAAATATTTAAGGTCATAATCTGCACATGCATAAGCTATTTCAAAGGTAAAGATGTACATGGCATATTCATGTACTTCTTCTACATGACATGTATAAGTCCAGGTGTCGAAATTTTGGGGGATCCTCGGCAATACGATGTCTGGTTTGATAAGCTTGATGATTGAGCACCCATGGGTGGGATCCGAAATGCCCAGTAAGCTCGAGACATTTTCACAAGATGTGTCTTATTTGAAACATTTCCGATTCTTCATCAAAGCACGCTGGCCCTATTAAGAGCAGTCTATTTGATAGTATCTACGGATATGAGTGCAGTTTAAGTTGAGTGTGGGAGTAATGACAACTGTTGTCGACAGCTGTCGAAATAGCTGGTCAGGTAGCAGTTAGAGGACATTGCTCCAAGCTACAAATGGATTAATATACATGAAAAAAACGTGGTTAGAAGGGAAAATACCGCAGAAAAAAAAATCAAGGCCATTTTTCGCGGTGAGATTGTAACAAACAAGCACCCTTAAAGAATTCCTCTTGGTATTGTCATGTTCATGCTTGCACGCTAACGCCCTCAGCTGAGAGAATAGCCCGTAACGTGATCGGGGTCGGGTCGACGACTGTTCCAGAAACCCGGAATTCCCTGCACTGCCTGGGAATCTCCTCGGCAAAGCCCGAGAAGTTTTGGAAGTGCATGCGGCAAATCAGAAAGTCGACAACCACAGTAGGTATGGCGCCTCATCCCCAACGACCCCTACCTATCCACCCCAACCCACCCCGCCCCCTGGAATGGGATCTGCGGCGAACTAGTCCCTCCCGCATTCGTGCCTGTAATACTAACAGCCATCACATAATTGCTATACCGTCACTTCTGCTAGCATTTTACTAACAATTAACATGAATTGTATTTACTTTTTATCCCGCCTGCCACCTAGCTTTAGCTCAACGGCTTATTAACCCGCCAGCTTTGCTGGCTCACGTCATACTAACTCATGCATCTAACAAGTATTTGCTCGTGTTAATCAAGCATGCAATATTTTAATTGGTATTTCTCCATATTCTTCTTTCATTTTTGATGTTGATGAAAACAATTAGTAAATCATAATCTACAGTGCAGTAGTAATGTGATGGATGTGGACTGTTCCATTTGGGAATGGGCTTTTATTCCCCCTGCTCGGTTCGCATGAACTGGTGCCCGGCGTATGCTCGAAACAACATGTTAAACTGCTGTTTGACTTGACTGGTATGTGTTCTGGGGGAAGTCTGCTTAGCCAGTCAACTGGTAACCAGTCAAATACAATACGAATTAAATGGTATCCTGGCTGGTTACCTGCTTTTGCCAATCGAATGTTTTTTATGGTGAACAATTCTCTGTGGTCACAGCTCTATCAAAGTGGTTTTTGTTGCATTTCTGTTGAAGCCAACCAGGGACTATATAACAGTGGAGGTGTACTCCTGGTAGAGTTTTAATAAAGTTTACGGCTTTCTACAAAAATGGGAACAGTTCAGATTTCATCGTTACTGCTGCAAAATAAAAAAAATCATCCCAGATGTGTCATTCATTTTCAGCTGATAACAAAATAACCAAAAAAATTGATCTCAGGACACATTTCATGTGTCTTGTCATCCATCTGTGAATGTTACTCGGCTTGCAAGGCAAAAACTTGTCCCAAACCAGTTTGGCCAGAGGGTAGTCGATTTACATCGAAAAACCTCTAGTGTAAAATTAACACTGTTTGGTCGCGTTTCAACAAGGAAACTAAACTGTGTCAACAGAGTTTGTTTCAGTACTGGTATGTGAATTATTCACGTGGTGTTTCAATTCACATATTATTATTTTTAATCTAACAACTTTCCCCTTACAAATGCAAGGGCTTTTTCGAAACATTCACCGAGTTATTTTGTAACGTATATAAGCTGAAATCAATGGCAATCATGGGCTTTTAAAACCGTTTCCGTTGTTTCATCTTGTGACCCTTACATAGATCTTTGTAGTATGAAGGTGCATTATTCAGTTGGAGGCATAAAATCGCGTCACTCTTGCTTGCTCTTTTTTTGGCAAGACAAACTGCATTCCATGCTGTATATTGCGAGTACCTGCCGCGAGTTTTTTTTGTCCATAGCTTTCGGTCAAGGGTCCATTGGAAGATGACGTCATGCGCAGATGGTGGATAATTCATTTGATATGGACAGCTCATCTTATGTCCGATATAAAAATTATGCGTTTGAAAGTATCCACATCATTAAAGCGTATTGTCTTTGGTAACAAAAACGTTTATGCATGAGTGAGTAGAAATTATTTTTTTCGATGATTCATCATTCATGTTTAGTTTTGTGTCAGTATAGTGTTGATACATTGGTGACTAACCGTTTATTATTATAAATCGATTTATTCTGAAATAGTTTTCATGTAATTTGTAGATTGTATTATTTCGTAAAACTACCGTCGTCTACGCTAAATAAACAAAGGTATAATAATGGGTAGGAAGGCATAGAAGACATTATCTTTCGTAGACTATACCACTGCATGTAATGGTCTGAATGCACTGGCCTGCGAGCATGGGTATTTGAGGAGCATGAAGAAGTAGAACTCATGTTGAAACTTAGAAATCGACATGATGGAATTGTTACCGTCTTCTGGTAGCAAGGTTATAGTAAAGGCGATTGCTCATTTATAGATAATGTCATTTCACTGAGGAGTTGTGTGCCTCCATAAGAGACGATAACACTTGACGAAATAAAATTCAGTTTAAGGACCCCGTGCCATAACATTATTCGCTTAAATGCGGAACTTGACATAACGACATTCACCAGGGTTGAAAAGTGTTAAATGTTTATGTCGATCCACTTAGTCCGTGAGGGTTAGCGGAGAGAGCGAATCCCAGAAGCTTGTGGTGAGACGCCCGTATGCAGTTATCGTTATTTGAACTACCTACACGCATGGCAAACGAATGCATTTTGGTAATACGTTGTTTTGTTTTAATGAGTGCGTTCGATTACTTCCCCCAGCTTACTCGCGCCTGCTCCTCGCGTGATGACAGACATGCGCAGTGGAGCTAAATAAACGAACGGTTTCGGGTAAAGTTTCGTGCAAGAGCTGGAAAGTTGAACATTGACATGACACTGAGGCTGCATCCGAATAAACTGTCTAGAGCTAGGGCTAGGTCCGCGCCCATTGAAAATACGCGGGGACGGGCTGACAATAGACGTAGCTGTAGCTCTGGAAGCACGCGGCCTGAGGCGCCCGCTGGACGTCACGTTGGCAGCCATGTTTATTGAATGGCCTTGTGGGATACTTACCCAACTAACCGGCCAGGCGAGTCGGTTACTTGGGCCAGGCTCGAGTAAGCGCGAGAAGTCACGTGAGAGCTAAATCGAACGCTGTCGCGCTTGCACGAGTAAGCGCGGGGGAAGTAGTCGAACGCACACAACATCAGTTCTAGCATGAATGAGACGACTGTTTTCACGAACCTTGTGTTTCTCCCCCCTGCATGTTTTGCTGATGTTTGTGCATGAAACCCCTTTGTCAGGTCGGAAAGCTCCTCGATCAACTTTATATGCCAGAGATTATATGATACTCTATGAGACATTCTTTCGTCCACGTGGTAAGTTTCTCTCTTTTAGCAATTACATGTGTTCCCTGTCTTATAAACGCGGTTTATGAAATGAGCTTCATACACACACGCACAAGATGCTACTCTTCTTGTCATTCATAATACACCCTTTACGCGCGGGTTTTTTTTACCTCACTTCAATCCATGTTTTTGCATAATCATTGCATCTACCAAAATACAACCGCTCTGAGAGCAGTGGCGTAGCATCGGGGAAGGGGGGTAAGGGGAGTATTTAATGCCCCCTCCCCCCCCCCCCCAAAAAAAAAAATAATAATAATAAATATTTGCAATAAATAAATTAAACATCCTCAGCTGGGAACTCCTCGGCAAAGCCTCGCGTGTGCCCTTTTAAACGTCACGCGAATGTCGGCAATTTTGCCGCTATTTAGGGCGGCACATATTGTCCGACTGTACCAATGATCGTCCACTTTGATCAGCGCCCCCATATGAAGATGGTGTCCAGCCCCACCCCCACCCCACCCCCTTCTGACTTTACGGAGGCCTGGTGATCGGTGGAAAAAAAACCTGTTTACCTTTCAGCACGGATGATCTCGCGAGTGCCCTTTTTCATGCACGTCACTTTAACCCCCCCCCCTCCCCTCCCTCGCAATCAAAAAGGCCTTGCTACGCCACTGAAGAGGAGAAGATAAAAGCGGACATTTATGAAGTACAGAGGGTGTTGCATTTGTGCCCCACGTGCGTTTCTCTTTGCACATGTTCTAGGAATCGATAATGAAGAACAACCACTGGTGGTCTTTGCTTTGTACGGTGTGATTCAGGCTTATTAAAACGGCAAATAGCGCGCGCGTGAACCATGAAAATAATCCACGTGCTCTCGCTGGATAGAGTGGTAGTGTAATGCATAAGGCCAAAAAAAAATCTCCGGTTTCTGGTATGCGTGCGCGTCGCCGTAGCCATGCGCGTCGGCAAAATGAACAAGTTTTTTTCAATGTAAGATGATGTCTCAAAACCGCCAAACTCACTGGTTTGACTGGAATCCTGCTGCTGCACAATTTTAACGTGTTTTTAGATTGGGTTATGGTCGAGAATAAGCTTTATGTGGCCTCTCTGGACTCCCATATATTTGCACTAAGTTTAGTCGGGCACCATTTGCAGTCATCAGCCGACATTTGAAGCAAAAAAGTCAGGTAAAAAAAAAAAAAAAAAACGCGTCGCCGCACCTTTTTTTGGGCAAGCTCCATACCAGAAACCGGAGACATTTTTTTTAGGCCTAACGTTCAGAGTGGAGATAATTATGTCGTCTCTCCGGTTTTACAAACAATGTCGTCAATATGAATACCGAAACTCGTAAGCTGCTCAATTGTCATTGACCGGTCTATTGTTAGGTTTTTTTCTCCATCATTTGCTAAAAGCGTACGGCCGTCTTGTAAAGTTTTTTTTTTACCATGCCGTACAAAATAGTCATTTTGTCTTAACATGACTTTTCCCGCAAACAAATCATTCGTTTTTTAATATTGCTCAGCCGGACAACCAAATGTTTTGATACCTTTTTTCTTCTGACATTTCCCATTTGGCACGTTTATTGCTTGCTCACTGCATGTGCATCATTAACCCATCCAGTCACAACTGTTTGTGTCTTGTCAGTAAATCTAATGTGGTATGGCCATCTTTTCATTATTACAGCCGCCCTTCACGTAAGTTCTTGGTGTTCATAAACTGCAATTCACCGTGAATTAGGGCACATAATATCATCACTCACCATTTCCATTACTGCAACCCTTTCTTTCTGCCACATTATTGTTTGAAAATCCCTCACTGCCTTTTCACAATCCATCACCCACATCTCTCCGTGTTTTATCAAATTCATCACATGCCTAATTCTCATGGGGAACATTATTTGCAATCGCTCTTTATTTTTAATAGATTTTATCACATTGTCATGGAACGTTCTAGCGATAGCCTCTTTAATTGATGGCGATTAAAACAGTACCGTACTTTGCGGTATTCCTGATTGTGTCCCCTTTTTCCTGTTGGATCATTATACCTCAGTAAGTAACTCAGCCGTGTCTGTCAGACTTAATAAGATATATTTCCCCACCTGTCCCTAACGGGCAGTTCTAAGCCTCACCACCTTGTGCTAACATTCTTCAACTCCCTCCCAAATTTGCCCGACAGCTCCCGGCATGCCTTGGTTCAACAGCATGGACGCCCAGGTTATCCTGTCCAAGTTTGTAGGAGACACAGCGACCCTCAAGTGCACGGTGGAAGACAAGGGCAACCGAGATGTGGCCTGGCTCAGGACGGAACCGCATTCCAGTGAGTATCCGAGGACAAATTTTATGAAAGGGTCTATTTAGAGAATTGCGCCACTTTTCAATCGTGGTTTTTGTGGTGTCATTTGTCACAGAGTGAAAGGCTATGGTTGCCAATCAAGGCAGGTGGGGAAAAAGAGATTTCACCATGAAAAGTGGCACATTTCTCTAAATAGACCCTTTCATAAAATTGGTCACTGCTCAGTCAACCGTGTAAGGACATGACCAGGGTGTCATTTTAAAGAGGAGATTCAACCCTAACAGAGGATATTTCCCTTTGATTCACATGTGCCCTACTTCTGTTCCAATTAGCAATAATATCTCGGTTTCGGATTTTTCTATCCACCCTGTATACTGCTGCTGCTGGCGCGATGCTACTCTTCCAAAGAGTGAAACTAGGAACCAGACGATTTAGAGTAAAATCACTCCAAAGTTAGATTGTTCTGAAAAAGAATCAATCCAGAGAAAATTATTAGATTGAATGCATTTTACTCTGAAACCTCTGATCCCTGTAGTTTCAGTCGGTGGGGTGGATTTTCACTCGAATAGAGTGAATAGACTTTATCACGAGTTGACAATATTACATTGAAAGCGAGGTAAACCCTTCATTTTTGGAACTTGCGAGTAGAAATATAACCTAATACCCTAATGTTTTAAGCCACATTATTAAAAACTTGAAAGTTTCGCGAGGCATTAACTATGTAAACGGAATGTTTACAAGTTGTTTTCCTGAAAGTCAAATTCCAGTTACAAGCATCTACACAACTTCATTCTGCTGTTTGAGGCTTTGTTTTGGTAAATGGATATCTTCATAATGAATTTGACTCAAAATTTAACCTAGGCCTTTTACCAAAGTAGGCCTTTATTTCGTCTCTTCCCTGTATCGTGTTACAAAGATAAACACCCAAACAAAACTGTTATGATTCTTTCACTAGACATCATCTTCACGAGGGATGAGATGTACGATTCCGACCCCAGGTACAAGATTGACACGGATAACAACCGCACATTCCACCTGCGCATCGAGCGACTGACCCGCGCTGACAACGGGACCTACGCCTGCACTGTCAACACCAAGCCCGTCATATCGTGGAACGTCACACTCCAGATAGTCGGTAAAACCATCCATCTCCAAATTTCCAGGTGGCCTAACCACTAGTCTAGCAACTAACACCAGACACCCAATTACAGTCAGTTAGTTTCACTGTATTCCCAACACCCACACATTTCGCGATTCTTTATACCCTACAGGGTGGCCGCCAAAAAGAAGGAAACCCACTTTTGACGGCTATTTTCCCCTATTTGTTGAGCATATATCAACAATTCAATTTAAGGGTATTCAAATATTGATATTTAAACATATTGACGAAAAAATGATTGCAAATGCATGTTTTGTCTCTAAGATATGGTAGTTTAAAAATGTCATGTGCCAAATCTGTTTGTCCACGGACAGCTTTATTCCATCCGCTAGACTGAGCTCTGGAGCTTGATTTGAAGACACAAAAAAACACTAAACTAGACTAATACACGTGGACAACAGTGATGTTGGTGACATATTTAAATTAGTATACTAACACTATTCTTGCGATTAATTTAAGAGCAATACTTCACTGCACCATAACAAAAAAAACAGTTCAAATAAGTTAGGTAAGTAGGTTAAAATTCCTGTCAAAAGTGGGTTGCCTTCTTTTACAGTAAACCTACTCGTGTTCGTGCTAGTTACTAGCCAACCTTGCCCTGTCACTAAACCACGTTTCAATAGAAACAATGTTTCAATAAAAAACAATGTTTCAATAGAATACAGACGATAAGCTTGGAAATTATATACATATTTTATTGTGGCATTAGGATCATCTTGAAATTTTGACATAACGATTTACAATTCTTCGGAATTGCCCTTAGGTAAACCTACATGATAAGCTCCATTGAGTCTACGCTCGGTAGCTCGATATGTCAGCGGAGCATCTGAACATTTCGGTTCAAAATTTCAAACCTAGGTAAAGGTAGCGTCTGGTTGCTGTTTTGTTCACAGCTCCAGCAACCGTCACAGACATCGTGCAGATGTCGCAAGGAGTCTCCGATAGCGGGAAGCGCACGTTCTTCTTCAACGAATCAGATACCGTGGAGCTGAAATGCAACGGTGATGGTTCGCCACAAGCTAGGTAACCAATGAACAGACCGACCCATTCGGCCCCGCCCACTTCGTATAATGAAAAGACCTTACACTTAGGCCTGACCAATGCCTCACTGCAAGCATGTTCCAGCTCACGCGCGTCCTGTGCAGATGCACGCATGTACAACCTCGGCCCCAGGGTGTCGAGCAGTACGCGCCCACCACTACCTGCTCTCTCACCCTGGTATTGGATCATTTGCAAGTGCAAGATTTTTGAACACGTATGCAAATGAGGAACAGTCTGGTGCCTGGATATGCGTTGCACATTAGCGTTTGTTTTTGTATGCGGTGTCTGGGGTAAAAACATAGTCAATTCGTAGCAGCGCGAGCACGGCGTGAGTTACGAAAACACGATTTTTGAAATCAAACTGTTACGATCTTATCGAGACATCATGCTGTATCACATTTCATATTAATATGAGCAAATTGGAAAGGAAATTAGTATTTTCGAGAAGGCGTGGACGAATGATTGCGAACACACGTACTGCACGTTGTGAATAATAGCACCAAGTACACGATAATAATCCATTACTAGCCAATCGCGGTATCGAATCAGGATACAGGAAGAAAGTTTCCTATCCAGGGTTTACTATTGGAAACGAGGTTGGAAATAAAGTAAGCACTGGGGACGAGGTTGACGCATGTAGGACTTGTGTGGACGCATGTCGCACGTTAATCGTGACTGTAATGGGAGACTTTTGAGACGTTGGTGGCAGCAAAGTCCTTGCTTTTCCATTGTTTGCGTCATATATGGCGTAAACGATTTAAAAGTACCGGTGTGTTTGCTGCCACTAATGTCTCAAAAGTTTGAGCTTAATGAATTGGTATATAATAACAACAGAACTTGATTTTCAAAAGATTCCAACTTTTAATCGACTGCTATCCGTGGAGAGAATCCAGAATTCATTTTGATTTTGACAATAAGTCTTATTAAGCAAAATGTCTCCAATGATGCGTAGGCTACTCTGGTTCACGCGCATAGCTTGAGTGTAAAGCCCGGTTCATACTCGGCGCGAAAGCGAAAACGAACGCGAATTTGTGACGTCATGGCAAGTATTCGTGCTGCGAATTCGTAAAAGTTGAACATATTTCAACTTAGGCGAATTTCGCAGCGAATGTTTCATGACGTCGAATTCGCTTCGCATTCGCGTTCGCGTGGAGCATGAACCGGGCTTAAGTTGATATTTCAGGGCGCTATTCCTGGGCGTGAACTAGATCAGAACAGAGACACATGACATCAAACTGCGGTACTCATAGGCATTAGAAACACAACCTTTGCTCAGTCAGTTTGACCATAAGGCTACGGTTTGACAGTTCGTAAACGTGGACATAAATATGAATGGGGAACTTTAGTTGACAGTTCCTAAAATAATTTACATGGTGCAAAATTTACTGAAGAGCTAGTAACACAAACTAACTCTGGCGACTTCCGCTTTGCCGAGTCACATATTATGCACGCAAGACTGTCAATCCTGTGTTTTAACCTTGCCTTTTTTGTATTTTGCGTTGGATTCCAGACTAGCGTGGATCGGTCCCGCTGGGGATCAGGTCGGGAACTCGACGCTTCGCATTGACGGCATCCAGCGCTCCCAGTATGGCGAGTACAGATGCGAGGCAGATAATGGCTTCAACGATATCCCGGATGCTCGGCTGGTCACCTTGAAAGTCAACTGTGAGTTGCACTCTCTGACAACATTTCACTCCCCCAATACACAGTTCTGTCATCCTATACATTTATGAGGTCCTCATATTGTTCCCTCTATTGTTCCCATAAGGTTTGTACACGAAAACCTCCCGAGGACTTGGCTTTTCTGTCATCCTACATTTATGAGGGCCTCATATTGTTCCCTCTATTGTTCCCATAAGGTTTGTACACGAAAACCTCCCGAGGACTTGGCTCAGGTCCTCGGGGTTATTGATATCGAAAATCCCCCATTGTCCAAAGTCCTCAGATCACATTGTTTTGTATTCCTCGCCTGTGTCATTCCTCCTTGTTAACAATTGCATTGAAACGCCCACGCACACCTTCAGTTTTTTTGCCGGAGTTGTTTTCACTCCTTGGTTCTTGGTTGGTTCTTCTCCTCAATACTCCGCGCGGGAATTTTAACAGGAGGAAAGAAACACCGGGGCAAACCCCTTCTCTTAGCGATAATGTCACCGGATTCCTTTAGGTGCATTGCATTACACAACACACGGGACCTACGGCTTTTGCGTCCCATCCGAAGGATGAAGCAATAATGGATAAGTGCCTTGCTTAAAAGGAATATACATTTGCAAACGTCGAAAAATAAAACTATCAAGTTTTTACGAAATACCTTACTAGGATGTTGGTAAATGACAGTCTCAAGCATCTTGTAAAATTATGGCACCTGGTGTGAAGTCATTTTCAAGAAAATGGTATTTTTGTAAACATTTCCAACGGTGGTCGGCCGACCAGCGTTGGAAAAACCTAACTATTTTTCAACTACTGCACCGAATTTACCATTTTTTCAGTCCAAATTTTGTTTGCTATTGGTTACATGTTCATGAATGGGTGCAGGCCAGCTAGACTGGTTCCCTTGGCTTACAATTTTCCATCATCTATAAATTGATCCATTTTATCTTTTGTGGAGTCAGGGAACCAGACTACTTGAGCATTCAGTGGCCGTCAGTTGCGTTTACATTATGGAACATCGAATCTCTCCTTTTAAATTCAACGTTTCGAACAGTAGGTCGTGTTATTCATCGTGCAGTGCTGAGGCTAACTTCCAAAAGAGAAATATTTTGGGGATATGAAAATTTAAAAAGGAGAGATAACATGATAAAATGGAGAGGTTCTTACCATTTTTTTAATCTGCAGATAAGCCCGAGATCAGAGTGTACCAGACTGATATTGAGATACGCAAGGCCGTGGGTGAATACGTCAAGATGCTGTGCCGAGCCGACGCCTCACCACGAGCCACTTACACATGGAGGAAAGACGGTGTGCTGGTACCCCCGGCCAGCAGGATCAACAACCGGCAGACAATGTAGGAATGCAACACTCCGCTCGTTAGTCCTAAAGGGGAATTTCGCTGGTGCCCGAAGTCTCAAACCCGAGGGCAGTGGTAAAGGCTGCTATTATGGCGCCCTCGAGAGACAGTTTTAAAGCACGGCTAGGACTTTTTTTATGTGGACAACAAGAGGGCGCTATCTGGTATTCATGTAGTAAACTTTTGTATTCGCCCTAAACAGCGCCTGCTCATTGTGTTCACATCTAAAAAACAAAACAAAAAAAACAAGCATAACTGCGCCAAAATTGCATTTTTTGAGTTTATGAAACTTCGACTTCGCCCCAGTTGTGGCTAGGGGAGATTTTCAGGAAGACATCAACAGTCTTCTCATTGATTATGTCGCTAGAAATGAAGCCAAAGCCAAAAAGGAAGCCGATCTTTCTGAAATACCCCCAAAGTCATGCATTCTTTGCCCTCGCCAGTTCAGTTCCGTTCACCCACAATCCCTTGGGTTTCCATATGAGATTTTATGCAAGAAAACAAACTCAGCAGACCATGCACCAGGGTCTTGATTAATATCTCAAAATGAGCACAAGCGAAATGGTCAATTGTACAGTGTAACACATTGTGTTTTTTTAACCTGTGGAACTTTCCATATTTTGTGTTTTGGATGTAATTCGAGTGAACCTCAGTGAACGTCCCCTGTGTGTCTTCTGTTTACTTTATTTTCTGACAAAGAGGCGTTTCCCCCTGCCTACAATATTCGTGTTGGACCCACGGATATTACGGCAACCTCTTTCACACTAGAAAATAATCTAACACGGCTTCTGCACGGGTCAAGGTAGAAAATTTAAATCTATAGCCAACCCGTGCACGGACCGTTGCAAGGTCCCATCGGGACACGGGGTAGGTATGGCGTACGTCCGTTCCCTTCCCACCAAGTTTCATGACGATCGGATCTCGTGATGACGTCATGATGACGTCACACATTTAAAAAAAAATTGTGCAAATATCTTTTTACCTAACAAATTAACCTATTACAAACAGCATTTAGATTTGAGCATGTTGTGGTTGTGAAATATGGCGATAATCTTCAAAATTTCAGAAATCTACATAAAAAATCAGGAGATGACGTCACCATGACGTCAGCTCATTTTTCATCTATAACACATACCTATCTATAAACTTACAACGTTTCAATGCAATTGGACTTTTAGGTCGGACCCGTGTTCGATGGAACTCGGTTCCGCTACGTGTAGCCTTGGTCAAGGCCCTCGTCGTTATTCGTCCGTACGCGATAATCAGTCGGCGGAATATCCTCGCAAGCTATGCAGTGCATGTAAAAATACAGCGCGAACAGCGACCTCTTTCGGCCACTATTTTATGCAAATCAGTTGGACCCGATCATTTTTTGTGCATTGATGCCGTGTGCAGAGACACACAACATGAGTGTATGCATTATGTACGGTGCCACGTTTCACCGCTATGCAAGTTTCGACGCAACGATCGACCAATAAGAAAACGACATTTAAATTCAGCTTAGGCTATTACCATAATGGGCACCACCCCCAAAACTTCACATGGACGATTGATCCAAGGCGCTCGATCAGGTCCAACTTATTTGCATAAAATAGTGGCCGCATGAGGTCGCTGTTCGCGCTGTATTTTTACATGCACTGCATAGCGCGCGAGGATATGCCGCAGATTGATTACCGCGTACGGACGAATAAGGACGAGAGCCTTGACCAAGGCTACTACCCGTGTTGATTTCAACATGGATAGTGGAGACGATAGTGTGAAAAGGCCTAATGCTTGTGCAGCTTGGTTAACATGCAATAATGCAGAAAAAAGAAGAATGAAACATCCTCTGCCAGCCCTTTGCTGTTATCCTTTGCAGTGCCGAATTGAGACGTCAGGTTGACGACTTCTGGTTGTAAAGAAAGGGCTTCTAACATGGCTGCCGCGTGCACTGTGAACATAAATGGTTATCCGAATTAACTGATGATTTGAAAATCTTTCCAACGCACACACGTATAAACCGCACTCAAATCGGTTCCCCGGCCACACGACAACTTGACGTCATCATTTCGGTACACGTTTTCGGGAAAGATTATGTTGGTCACAAAGCTTTACCGTAGTCTTTCCATCAGCCGTGTCTATTATCGCTCTTGATTTTGAAAGCAATAAGCTTGCTGCTTTTTTTCTTTCAACTAATTATATCTCTAACTTATTGGCGGATCTGGGGGTGGTTGGAGGGTCTAACACCCCTAGATTTGCCGTTGAGTTAAAGAAGAAATAGGAAAGCATGAAGAACAACGTAGCAAATGCCCGCTAACCCGCCCCTCCCCCCAAAAATAATACCCCCTTGAGCAAAAGATAGGTCCGCCCCTGTAAATTGTGATCTTTTTTTATCAAGAATGGCTAAAAAAAATTTTTGTGTCTGTCGCCATTTGAAATCCGATGCAGTAACAGTTGTTCAAAGAAGCGCAATTTGTTTTGTATTATTTTCACATCAATGGCTGATGAGGACTAAAGCTGTTTAATCGCTTTTTGTTTGATAACTACACGGCTGTTGTCAGTGTTGCGATCCAATTACTAGTAAGGCGAACATTGTAATGTAATCCAGTTTTCATAGAGTTAAGGAGTGATTTGTTACATGTTTAAATGTGTTTTAGGCCTAGTACAACGAGTACTTTCTATCCTTTCTGTTGTAATGCCGTTGGATCTGTTGCCTTACTAACAATGCAAGTATGTTTTGTTTGTTTTTTTCAATTAAACTAACTTTACGTTGCACTGATGTCTTCTATAAATAGCGATAACTAATTTCTAACCCAATATAACTATTGTTGTAACTAACAACAGTCTTTGCACTATGACGTCGGTATTTTCACAACTTCAGTAATCCGTCCTTCCCTGTGGCCCATGTGATTAAGAACACGATTCAAGCGCCTTCTTCAGTCAGAGGCAAATCTGAGCCCGTTGAGCTCGTCACATGAAGAATGTTAAACCAATCAAACTCCAGCATTCACAAGCGAAGGCCCCGTTAGATTTGAAACTCTAAACTGTACACCAGTGTTGCATGTGTATTTCTCTTATAAGTTTCCCTGAACGTTCCAGGAGGTTCTTGAGGCGGGAAATGGTTAAGATGCTTCGCTAACTGGCCATCTTCAGAAACTTGTATATTTCTCTGTTTTTCTTGACATGTGATGTGTGCTTACTAACCAAGGATCCACATAAGTTGTGATGTTGATACGGCTAGGCAAGTAGTCTTCAAAAGTCCGTTTCTTTGTTTTGTTTGTTTGTTTGTTTGTCTGTCTGTTTGTTTGTCCTTTTCGATCATCCCTCACGTCTCCAAAAGAGCATGCGCACACCTGGCGGCATGCCTGCATGCATTATGCATGATTGTACTAACCCTTCCAGCATGGTATGTTTCGTTACTAGCTTTCAAGGTTTCGACAAACCCATCCCTTTCCCCCCCCCCCCCCTTTTAGCAACATGTTTCCCAAACATATTATTATTATACATCTAGTTTTCGTCGTTGCACCCGCATGAGCTTGCGTAACTGAAAAGGACCAAAAATATTCTGCGCTTTCCTGCCAAATGTGTTGCCAAATTGTCGCATTCTTTTCAAAGTTGTTTTGAGTCTATTTACAAACTAGTTAGTATAAACTCAAGCAACAGGCTTTAGCGCTAAAGAAAGTGGCTGAAGTGTCTTGTTGCATTTGCTAATTAAGCGAAATACAGTGACTTTGTGAAGTCATGGTTCTTGTCAAAAATGGCCATGGTAGGTCAGTGCACGAAACTTAAAGATAGGTAATTAGTCGGGCCGGGTTGGGGAGGCGGCAACCTCGTCCCCAGGGTGTCGAGTAGTACGCGCCTACCGGTACCTGCTCTCTCACCCTGGTATTGGATCATTTGCATGTCCAAAATATGCAGTGTATTCGGTGTCTTGGGTAAAAGCAGAATCAATTCGTCGCAGCGTGAGTTACGTAAACACGATTTTTTTCCAAAGTTTAAATGTTACAATCTTCTTCAGCCAAAATGCGGTTTCACATTTCATATTAATATGAGCAAATTGGGAAGGAGATAATTGTTTTGGAATGGTGTGAATGTAATAATTAAAATTAACGTGCAAATACGTTATGCACGTTGGAAATGACAACACCAAGTACACGACAAAAATCCATTGCTTGCCAATTGCGGTATCGAATCGGGGTACAGCAAGAAAGTTTCCATATCCAGGGTTTACTATTGGAAACGAGGTTAAAAATAAAGTAATCCCTGGGGACGAGGTTGGGAGGCAGCTATTAAGCGGGGAAAGAAAGCCCCTCTATTTACCAAAGTTTAACCACCTGCTAAATGTTACGGCCTCCAGCCTTGTGCCAACATTCCTGGAGGTTTTGTCGCATCCCCGTTGTTCAGCCCCGATCCATTTCCCTCTTCCCATTATGTTTATCCAATGCAATATTTATTTAATGAAAGAGACTCAGTGTCTCACTTCAAACATGTATGGAATGCCGTGTGCGTCAAAAATGACGCTTGTGGTTACCCCGCCCCCTTTGTCTCGTAATTACCCGTGTATAGTAGTATGTCAGAGTGATTCCCTATCAACTCCCCGCCCCCTCTGTTAAAACAAAGCGTTTGCTGGATGAGAATGTTTTCTTTCAGGTCATTTAATCGAACTCCGAAAAAGTTACACTGAATCATTACCCCAACTTTCAAATTTGGGAAGGTGTGGTTTTGAGGATGACTGCTCCATGTTCCTACACGCACCCCGTGTTCCGACAACCCTATGTTCCAACAGTCCGCACATAAGATTGTGTTAGACCGTTTATGGTTAGGGTTAGGGTTAGGAACATGAGCAGTCGAAACGAAAGGGTGTCAGAACATAATGTGTAACCGTAATGAGCATTTGTCACTTTTTTTAGTGTCGCTGTAATAAGTTTGTTTTGGCCAGTACGGCATTCTCTCCTTGCGAGCTGTTGGCAGTTGTTGGTTTTTGGGGCCAGAAAAGTAGACATTGACGGCCCGCGCTGCAGTATAACCATGGGGATATTTTCTTTCAGGTTACTCAATGAAACTTGGGAAGAATTAGACTAAATCAATACCCCCAACCTTCAAATTTGGGAAAGGGTGCATGGGATTCAGCTTTTGTCAGCCCGTCGTTCAAAGACACCAAAAGGCACAAAGACACCCACAGTTTAAGAGTGTTAAAATGACAATCCTTGGCTTTCTGCCAAGGATAATTGGAAGGGGAAAAATAGCTTCTTCGTCTACAGGCAAAAACATAGTCACGAGACCAGACTAAAATAATGAACTTTCCTGCCAAACACCTCCTTTGACCTACTTAGATCGCTATGGGTCACTCAGCAAAGTTTGCTGTGCTTTTTTATCGGTTCTGTTTTCCCCCGCTTAAAAAAAAGAGGAGCTTCCTGGCATGGCGCAGTCACGTATTTAATCACACGTTCTAATTCACTCACCTTCCCAGGGACGCTGGTGCAAGCTGTTGCACCTGGGGTCCAAACCTCGCGAGACGTGCGAGATTTGAAAGTTTGATGAGCTCGGATGCCGGAGTCGGTTTGCCAATTAATTAATCCGCGGCCGGTTGTCTCTTCAGCCAATGCGATTGCTCCTTTGGAACCTGCAAGTTCACTTAAAGTCAATTATACGCGTGCCTCAAAATGCAGGCAAACATTTTATGAAATGTGTATTGAAAGGCAAAACCTAATTTGATTTACATCACCCTGACGCAAAAATTCCATCTTATTAATAGTTAATGCGGTACCCGCTGCTATGTACATCAGATTCGAACCAGCCAACGGTCCCGTTAGCTCGGTGGTCGAGTGGTAAGACATCTCCACTAGAAAGCAGGAGGTCGTGGGTTCGAGGTAACACACTGAGTATACAGTGTTTATACGTCGGTGAAGGGCAACACCTAATTTGATTTACATTACCCCTACGCAAAAAAAGCCATCTTATGAATAGAAATGTGTATTGTTGTTCTGAATCTAAAGTCTATACAGTATGTCGCTCTGACAAGAACTTAACTATATTTCGTCTGTATGTAAAAAAAAAAAAAAACCAAGTTTTACAACCTAGCTCTTGAATTTTTGTCAAATTTTCGTGAATATAAAAACCTCAAAGCAAGCTTGCATATTATCGAAAAGAAACCCTACTTTCGTGCCTTTCGATTCGTGAAGGTTAGCCAGTCCTCAAAAGTTGTTTCACCTTTTTTTCTCGTGTGATTTTGATTGCTCTCTACTTCTTATTTGCAAGCAGAAAACGGAGACAGAAAACTAACCCGCACGTGCGAATAAAACATGTGCGAATAAAATCCGACATAATTATTCACTGTAAACAGAAGTCCAAGTCAAAAGATTCTTTCACACAAAAAGATATTCAAGGCTGACGAGTAGTTTCAGCGTGAGATTAATTATAAGAAAAGAAAGGGTTTCACACTTGTTAATATCACGTTATCAACGGTTGCGGGTATATATATAAGCGCATTAGTTGTAGCGCATGTCTGTTTAACTTGCTTTTCCAGCACACAGATTATGTTGTGCACAGTGCGTGTCGAGCTGAGGATTATGCTAGCCTTTTTTCTTCATTCCCTATTCATTTTAATCCTACATCCTAATGATAATGCTCTCCATGATGCAAACTTGACACCTGATTCTGATATAGATACCCGGGGAAGAAAAAAAAGGAATAAAGACTGCGCTCCGCCGCCTTGATGATCTAAAATAATTTAAGCAATTCTAAATAGATTGACCGGTTGACTGAATTGTCCCTATTAACCAACTAGCTCACAATGTGCGCAGCTTGCTACTGTAACAGCTTTGTTTCCTTAGTCGTTGATAAAAGTACAATTTCGTCCCTCGTGGTTTATCGTTCTTTATACGAACCAAATATCTTTGGCAGATGTTCAATGGTTTTCTATTTAGATTTAACGACAATGTGAATCGAATGTCAAAATTTAGCTTCATTATTGTATTCTTTGAACTTCGCGTTGCATGCGTATTATTGGACTCCAACCCAGCTTTAAATAACGGTGAAATGTATGCATATACATTAGTTATTCATGAGATGTTAATTTTCTCGACAGCTTGGTCATCGTGAGTATCCAGCCAGAGCACTACGGTGTGTACACATGCGAAGCCACCAACCTCCTGGGTACTTCACGGGCGAACATCACTCTAAATGGTAACACATCATCAAATCGGTGTCATATAAAATTTTGAACTCCTAAGAAATGTGTCTCCCTTATTGTATATCGACACCTCACACGTGATCTGTTACTGTTCAAGTCATCTTCACTACGCATGCGCATGCGTAATACAATCATGATTTCCTTGAGTGTTCCTCTTCATTTTGCGACGGATAAACCTAACCCCCCCCCCCCCCCAAGAAAAAATACTTCTAAACCTGTTTTTCAGAGAGGGGAAAAACTTGAGTATGTAAACACCGGCAAACGTGGAGTAGGGACAAAAGGGTTAGGGCACGCCACGATTGAAATTCGTGTACAAAACCAATGAGAGCTGTTGCTAAAAAGTACAAAGGAATGAGGATTAGGGACGATAGGGGTCCACGATTGCCGGTATTTACAAAGATGTGGGTGTGTGGACGTGGGCAAGTCCACAAAACGTTCACAATTCCTGCACCCTGTGGACCTCTTTTGTTCTGAAGCCCACAAGGAGTTAAGCAATGTTAGAACACATTCCACTCATGCGTTGCATCTCCACTAGCCCAGCATTCACCCTGAAAACGAACAGTGCGCAGTGCTCGAGACGTCGAATTTACCGGTCCGCCCCCTCCCCCGAAAATAAAAAGTTTTCTCAAAAAAAAAAAATACAAGAACACGATACCAGCTTCAATTGTACCAAGACAATCCAAGCAGAAAGATCTCAAATTAGGTCAATATGGACCGAGCCATGCATTAAGCCCCACCCACTGCGCACGTGGGCAACCGAACACGTGCACCGTCTCCAATCCCACATCACACTGCATGTTCAAACCGTGCGCGTCATACGTGCGCGCATGCGGGACATTTTTGTGCACGCATGTCGGACATTAGTCTCAGCTGTGATTGGTCAAAGCATCATTTGAGCGGGGCTTAATAGATCGATGACCTTTGGCATCCAACAGGCAAACCGCTGCCACCGATCATAGTGAGCGATCCAGTGGGCACTCGGCGGCACATCTTCAAGCTGATGTGGCAACACCAGAGCAAGCAACCGCCTAACTACCCCGGCACCATCCCAGTCACCTACTACAAAATCCTGTACCGTGGATGGTGGAGGCAGGTAAGACCAGAAGGGCGGAGCCAGAAATCTGATGGAAGGGGTGACCTTTTAAAGCTGAGCTCGACAACAAAAAATCAGTTCAAACAAATATGCATTCTTTTGGAAGACAAATGAGACAGAAAAGTGGCTTATCGAGCAAAATCAGCCTCTTGGTACTACAATGCATTACAGATGGAACTTGAACTCCAAACTTCAAATACCATTCGACTTTATAGAACAAATTGTGTTCGTAGTTAAGCTTCATGCTGACGCGAACGCGAAGCGACGAATAAAAAGAATAAGTGCTTAGATATCTCAAAAGTTGAAGTTGTCCAACACCGGTGAATTAACACCGATGTTAATGTTTCGTAACGTCCATATGCCTATCGCTCGTCAGCATTCGCGTTCTCGTGAAGTATTAATGGGCCTAATTTGAGAGGAACATTTTCTTTTCAAGCTGAGTGGATTATGGTTGGCAAAGAATAAAATCCTTTCCCTTTTTTCTCCCAATGTTTAAAGCTATCCTTTGGAATGGTAAATATCAGAGATTGTATTGGGTGGGTTTTTTTTTTTGGGGGGGGGCTTTGTTTAGGAACTGCTTTCTGATCATGCGTAATAAGTCTCACATTGCAAAAAGTATATCACCATGTAGCATAATAATTAGTCGTTATCTACATAAACAAAATCACCGAATTAACATCTCATTGTCTAGATCAACAGCATCGCTTCATGTGCTCGAAAAAATACACTCAGTTAACTTTAATATCGACTTTGACCACCACTAATAAGCAGTGCACTGGGCAACGCCTCTACATGCTGACCATTCAGTAGTCTGTTACTTTTAAGGATTCATTGAATTAGGCCTATAGTCTCTCCACATGTACTTGTCGTTCTCAGTCCACGCAAGACAGAAGAAAGGTGTATTCCTTGGAGGACGAGACCAACCTGATGGAGGAGATCGCCTATCCGGACTTCTCCAAGATCAAGCAGTTCTGCAACCTGCATGACCTTCGACACAACGCGACCTATGACCTCCAGCTTTACGCCGTCAACGACCAGGGCGATAGCGACCCGGTCAATTTCACGTTTTACACAGCCCTGGGTAAGAGTTCACATGTCCGCGAAGTCGCACGGACAAAAACTAGCATAAATATTATAGTGTTGATAACATTCATGTTTCAACCTTCCGAAGGGTAAAGGACGTTCGATCAAGAATTATGGTACCTTCAAGCTATCAAATGGCGCTGCATAACACGATGCCGATTATCCCACTAATTTTGAGGGGGAAATGCAGACTTCGCAAAGCATTGTGGGAAGATTACCATGAGCAACCCATGCGCATTTGTTATGCGCAGACGGAGGTGTTAGCCTCAGGTCACTTATTTCTATCCAAGGAGAACTCCAAGACTTTCAAATAAGATGTCGGCAGTGATCTTCGGTAGGGCGGTGATAAATGCACTCTTTAAAAGACCCGTGTCAGATTTGGACACGAATCCGGGTCACATCAATTTGACCCCCTACGTTTCCTGGTCAAAACTGAAACTTCTCTGGATCATTGTCCGGGTAATTTTGACCCAGAATAGTGTCCTGCTGTCCCTGTACAGTATCAGGGAAAATACGACCCAGATTCCCGGTCGACTCTGACCCGAGACATTTAAGAGTGACGTAATGCGTGTTTTCGACTCGGGTCACACACTAATTTTGAGCAAGAGTAGACCTATCTGTCTTTTCAATAAAATTGTCAATTTCTTTTCTTCCCACATATGAATTACCCTTTGCCCTTATTATTACGTTTTGCTTTGCCTGCACCCAATGCACAATTGCACACACAGCCAGGGCTGACTACAACGCCACATCAGGTAATGTTACACTGTCACGCATGGCACCTCACTGTCACGCTGTACTGTCACGATTGTCTCGCTTGTCACGCTTGAACGTGACACGTGCATGTTTACTTTGCATGTAGCCCTTTCAGTAGCAAGACTGTCCAGATATTTTGCCTGTATCGTGTTTAGCAGCAGTTGTTTTAAATTTACGTTTTTGCAGTTTAGCAGTAACTCAAACTTGCACACAAATGCTATAGCGACGTCTCCAATCTGTCTTCGTAAACTTTTAACACATGTTATTTTAGTCGTTCTTTGTTTTAAATAAATTGTAAAGCTATTACAAAGCGCTTTTCGTTGTATCAATAATCTTAACGCGCTTTACAATGTGTATGGAGTGCCGAAGTGAATACGTCAGGCGCACAAAATGTGTGTGAAAGACATTAGCGCGTGATTCAGCCCGTGAACCAACGCGCGCGTACTCCATTCGTTTGCACTACACTTTCTAGTTCTAAATGACGTCACACTTCGGTACTCCATTCCCTGTTAATTAGATGTTTATTACCCCGTTCACCACGAGACCACGTGGCAGCCAATATCAGCGCACATTCGGTCCTCTACCCTCACAGTACAGGAACCCATTCCAGGCGCGGATCGGGGGGGGGGGGGGGAGCGGCGGGTCAAACTCACTTTGCTCTGACTCAATTATGTTTTTCCATAGAAATACATGAAATATAATGTTAACCCCCCCCCCCCCCCCCCCGCTCTGACACCCCAAACAAATTATACTGGTAATAATGTTCGCCTGTGCAAAATTCGGACAGAGCCAGCTGGGTTAATACGGGGGTATTTGTACACTATTCTATTGAACTACACTATTGAAAGTATGGAACGAGCCCCCCCCTCCGCACCTATTGATTTTACGTAGGCCAAGCCCCCCCCCCCCCACCTATTGATTTTACGTAGGCCAAGCCCCCCCCCCCCCCGCACCTATTGATTTTACGTAGGCCAAGTGTCCGGAGTTTACCTACATTTAAACATGTATTTGCTGATGAACAACCCCCCCCCCCCCTGCAAAATTTCCTGATCCGCCCCTGCATTTATACTACTGGGTTCTGCTTCAGTTACTATCCCTTGTGATGTCTGCTAGCAAGGTTGACATAATTATTGTTTTGTACCACTAAATAAATATTACTAATTCAGTGCTGTCTTCACACAAGAAGTGTGCCATAGTAAAATAGTATCTTCTACGTGGCATAACACATTGTTTTTGTGTACATTGCAATACTAACCTTATGACCATATTTGAGGATATTGCAGTCACAATGAGGGCGCTGTTTGATTGGGGTAAGGTCTTTTGTACTTACCCAAATCAAACAGCGCCCTCCTATTGTGTCTTTCACACCTCAGTTAAGCTAATATGTCATAGATAAAAAAATAAAAGCCCTAGGCTAAGAACGTCCGAATCTGTGCGACGTCAAGGCCTAAAGTGATACAGGCTTGTGATGAAATACATTTTTTAATGTAACATCTTTTGCATATGGGTGATGCCATCTTAGGCATTTATCTGTCAAGAAACATGGCATGTAATGCGATTATGATGTGTTTACTAACATACTAAGTACTGGTTGGTCCCAGCGTGTCAGCCTAGTGTCGTCTTTGTACCTATGTGACTAACCGACTGACCAGCTACAATCCTGGCCAAATCCTGCTGGGCCTCCAACCCCCCGGCCCCCGTTCAATGTTGTCTCTCATTGCGCGGTGTGTCGATCAGCTGGAGAGAACAACATTGACCGGAGGAGCGGGGAGCGGGGGAGTGGGTGACCGTGGCAGGCTCAGCAAGTGTCCCAACCATTTTGGCCGGGATTGTAGGCCTAACTGACTGTCACTTGTGTAACTAAAAGGTAATATACAACATTTGCTTTTGCTACGATTATCAGAAATGGATGGATTTGAGGGTTTGTATTTTATAGCAAAAATTGTTAGAGTTTTGTGTTCACGGATGCTGGGGAAAAACACTGAATGCCGTTCTGGTAGTCTTATTCCCTGACCCTACTTCAGACGAAATGGACCAATTTGTAGACTTCAGGGAATTGTTAGGTCAGGAAACAAGACTAGCTGGCTGGCACCCGTTCATGGATGTGTAACCGATTGCAAACAAAAAGTGGACTAACTATTTGGTACATTTTGATAAAACTAAAAGTCAGGATTTTTTTTCTTCAAATGGTCGGCAAACCATCTTTGGAAATTGTTACAAAAAATTCGACTTTCCTTGAAAATGACAGCACAGCATGTGTCATGGTTTCGCAGGATGCTTAATTAAGACTATTCTTCACTTACAGTCAAGTAATGTATTTCATACTAATTTGGGAGTTTTGCTTTTGGTGTTTGTAAATGTTGTATATTACCTTAAACTTGTTGCAGACTGGCAAAGGGAGATGAGCAGTGCCATCGTATATTACCCAATAAAGTCAATGAATGGGTTACATCCGATTAATTGTGCAGACCAGATACACGACAAGACTACCAGTTTTTAAAATGTTAGCCAAAATTAAAGGGGCACTGCGTCCTGAAATCCCCGAAATTTTCATGCTTTGGATTGTTTACCTATCTTTCTAATTGAATAGACCAGCTTTACTATAGCCTTGTCTTGTTTTGTTGCAATCTTGTATTACATGCCATTAACAGAACATTTTTCATTTGTGGTATAAATGAAGAAGACATTTTTGCACATTTTTTAAAATAACAGTCATTATGTGGTTTTAAAACTGTGAGTATACATGTACTGGAAATCCAAGCGAGGCAAGAGCCCTGAGGCAAGAACTTTGCATTCCAAAGCAAATAAAAATAAACGTAACTCATTAAAGGGAACTACTCCATGGAAAGCGCCCAATTGGGCTACAAAACGCGTTTTAAACGAAATATAAGATATAAACATCTACACAATTATCCTTTAAAACCTGGGCAGTTTTTTTTTGTGTTATTCCTGTATTATGCGTGCGAGAACGACTTTCGGGTCCACTTTTGCGACCCAAAAAGCATTGGTGTTGTGTGTAATATTTATGTGACACACACAACGTGTATCGTGCATTAAATAAAAACGACAGGAAAAACGTATGCGTACACCATCGTGTCCCATAACAACCGTTTTTTTCGTCTTTTCAAAGGATAAGTAAACAATGCAAAGCTGCATGAAACTTTCGCGGATTTCAGGATGCAAAGCCCCTTTAATTTTGGCCAACAAAAAGTTGACCCTGTCTACTGCCTCATTTGGATGCAAAAGTCAATTTTGTGACGTAATCGTCTGCCAAAGCAAGACAGAATATTAGGTTTAACATTTGCAAGGGAGAATAGGTAGTTGCAAAATAGCAATTCATCTTGCAACGTTAACGTTTCCTTTCTGTTGTGTTCTTACAGAAGACGAAGTGACGACGTCTAACGGAGACACTGCAGGTCCGCTCTCATTATCATCAAGTATATAACTTTTTTTTTGAATTCCTTCTCTGTTTTTGTTTTACTTGTAAAATGCATGAATCAGTATTAAAGCATACTTCCATAATGTAAATTAGGTCTGATGACAATATTGTTACAGTTGATTTCAGGCGTTATAGGCTATCAGCTTCGGTCCACAAATTGGGCCACCGGTATCAAATGATCGTAAGGAGCAATGCCCATAGTGATTTTTGGCAAGGTATGCACATCTAGAGTTGGAAAATGTGTGACAGCTTTGCCTTGTGAGCGGTGGCAGTTTGTTGGCTGTAATCGCTTTTATTTTTGTTTCAAAATGGCCGCCATAAATTATATGTGGAAACAAGCATGTATTCAGCCGTATTCAAAAAGCTGTAACCGCTGCAATGCAATCACATATTTTCTAACTACAGGGGTGCATACCTTGCCAAAAATCACGATGAGCATTATTCCCCTTATTTTGATATCGACCAAACCCCCAGGCTGATGGCCTATTATAAGAATTCTTTTAATCAAGGCAGTATTTTAAACAATGCTTTATGATTGGGACATTTAACAGTGATACCGATCGAAGATGTTTTTGGAGTTCCAGTGACTAGAGTGTTGTTACATGTCCTCACTGGTCTCTTATAATTCTCTTTCCCCACAGTAAATGAGAATCAAGATCCAAATAGAGGTTAGTAAAACAACAAAAAGCTGCTTAATTCTACAGGGTGACCCAAAAAAATGCAACCCTAAAACATTTGCCTTAAAAAAGGGATCCTAGATTTTTATGTTTTGGGTATCAGATTAAAGCAGAGAGGCTTTTCTTTCTAATACTGAAAAAAAAATCATGAAAATGGAACTTTGGGTTGCCGAGAAAATGCCAATACATGTATGTAAAACTAGTCAGTTTGCATCCTGTACACATAAAATTACTACCGTAAGGGATGTTCACTGTACCTTTTGTGCATATCCTGATCCTTGTAAACAACACGGCACATTATGCGACAAGAGTACTTGAATTTGATGGAAATACCTTTTATTTTCCACCTGAACAGGTATCTCATCCTTTTTAGTCCTATTTAAACATTTCAGCATCATAAATATGTCAAAATATTAAAGAAATTGCAGAAATGAAGGATAATTACACAGTATGCTTATAGTAAAATGTTTCACTGTATGAAGTACTTGTGTAAAGGATAACAAATTACTGCTTTTACATAATTGACATTTTTCTAGATCAGCAACTCAAAGTGCTATGTTCATGATTTTTTTTCAGTATCTGAATGAAAAAGCTATCAGCTATATATCTGATAACCAAAACATAAAAAAACCTACCGATTTGTTTTTAAAGGCAAATGTTTTAGGGTCACAGTTTTTGGGGATCACTTGTATACATAAAAAAAAAAACAAGCTGGAAATGCTACGGAAGGTTTTTGACGTGACGTCAGTGACCCCAAGGCCTGCATTAAATTGGTGAGGGACAAGTTGACATGTATAGCCATGCAAGGCTGTCATACTTCAACATTTCTTACTAACGGAGAGACACGATGATTTATTGAGCTGCTGTCCCCAGCAAGAAACATGTTGAAATTCCCCACCCCATTTGTTTGCCTAATTCGCTTTTTCTCCACTGTTTCTTGATTCAGATACCATTATATGACATCATGTTGTAACCTAACCTGGCTTTGGGTCTATACTTTCGGGTACTTTCATTTATAAGAATGGTTAAAAACGTTAAAAAAGGGTTGGGTCATGGTTATCTACCCCCTTGCTCCGTACTCCTCCCCTGACTGGCAAACTTGTTTGATTTCGTCCTTCCAGAGGGACTCAAATGGACTGCACCTTCAATTGCACCTTCAAGTGCGCCCTCTACGGCAACAGTATTGGCGATGGTTATTGCTCTGGCGCTGGGCCTACATTGTACGGAAGTTTACAAATGAGATCATCGGCCCTGTTTTTTTTTTTTGGTTTTTGGTGTGTGTTTTGTGTTCCCTGTTAGAATGGTCACTGAGTGGAGCTAGTACGCCCTCTGCTGACGTCAGTCACCTGAAAGCACGGCAGAATGAAATCAGTAGTTTTGTAATTATCACAAGATGCCCAGTGAACAGAGAGAGAACCAAACACCCAATGTACATGTAAATGTCAAAGAAAAACAATCAGAGTCACAGAGGGAGTGCAACAGACCTTTCTGGGCTTGGTTGGCAAACTGCACTTTTGCCAACCATGGCCTGCAAAACTATGGAACGTCTAACATTGCAAAAATGAAGAAGACTTAGTATAGATCACCAAAATATTATTTGATACTTGAAAACACGACATTTTCAAAAAAGCTACAAAATAATTCCCACATATGTCTTTTTACTATGTGTTGATGGCGTTACGAGGACTTTTTTGGAAAAATACGTTGCCAACCACGGCTTCAATTTATGCGCTTACGGCAGCCCATACAAAATGGCGTCAATGTTTACAAACAAAAGAAAGGCCTATAAACCATTTGCGAGTGTCCTGAACCCTTTGAGATTTAAATTTGAAAAACATGTGGCACACTGACTTGCTCACACACTTGGCACATTTTAACTTTGAATTCTCCAGACTAAAGACACTGTTGCTAATCACATGATTCGGGGCAAGCTCTTTCATAGTTACGTAAGAGCCGCTCAGCACCAACACAATGGGTGAGAGTGGCACAAAGACACCAGACCATGCCGGAGCTAGGGGTTGCTAGCATAACTCGGGCTTGTCCCGAATCACGTGATATAGTAACTGTCTCTTTGGTCGGGAAAATGCAAAGGTAAAACGTGCAAAGCATTGGATTAAGTCAGCATTTCAGATTTTATTCAAATTGAAGTCGCAAATGGACTACAGCTTAACGCCTGTTGAAAAAACTACGGTAAATATTTATATTATAAAAGAGCGGCTTTTTAAATTGAATTATTGCATTAAAGTGCAAGCCTCTTTTAACAAAAAATGTGTCTGTTTTTGTACCACTTACTATTCTTAGAATTATAAATTTACTGTAGTTATAAGATTTACATTCACATTGCTATATGTATGAACATAATTTTAAAGATTTATTATCAACTATTGGATCTGAACAAAGGTTCTTCTCTGTAAATATTTTATTGTTAAATAGGCTATGCAAAATGAGTGGACAATATTAAGGTAAAAAATGTATTCGTTGAAAATAATTATGCGAATAACTTTGCACAATCTTCAAATATTTGGACCCCATACAGTTAAGCGGGGTGGACGTTATATGATTGTTTTCCCAAGTCGAGGGGTCAAAACCAAGACCGCTGGAGGAGGCTGATTGAACGTCTTCTTCATCATATTTCACGAGAAAACAAAGAGTTGAACGAGCTTGCTGAACAGACGCACGCGCGCAAATACAACAACCAGCGTTGGTGATGTTTATGCGTGACGTCATTAGGTGGCGCCCAATCACAGTGCGTTGACAGACAATTATCTCATTAGATCGACTGGGCCACTCCTCAGTTTAAAAGTTGGCATTTGGAAGTTAACATTTATGTACATACTGAACAATAAGATGGATATTGCATTATTTTAACACTACTTCACTCTACGTATACATGTGCATTTTAATTTAATATGTAAACAATATGTGAACTGCCATAGCATAATGATCGAGAATAACCCCACTTTTGACTTTTCACGTTATGTACATCATGTTAAAGCGCAAATCATGGGCTTTCCAGTGATAACAAATTGATATCTAAAGCTGAATTTATTTTAAAGATATGACTCAGGAACTTCAACAGTGTCCTGCCAAGCTGCTCTAACCTCATTTCGAGAAAAACGGGTTTGAAAGAAAAAAGACACGCATTGAGCTGCCAACGGCAATGAAAAATATTCTTCAGTTTTTTTTCCACCGTTTTAGTGTGAATCTTGGATTCCTTGGCTACTCAAAAATATAAAACAATCAAAAACGATTTTCACATGATTTTTCTAGTATATACGACTTCAGGCGTCGATTACTCAAAACAAGGTTTTGGGGGACATTCCTCATTTTGCCTCAGTAGGTCACAGAATAGTCATGCCGCAATGATGGTCACCTAGTACCTATATGCACCGTGTGTGATTGATGTATAGCGGCACCTGTAATATAGATAGTTTCTTTTAAATGGCATTGACTATGGCTGTTGTGCTGTTGGTCAATAAAAGACAGCACCTTCTCTCGATGTTCGTTTACGTAGAAAACGATTAACAATATGGAGATAATGATTTTTCAGTATACAGCCTTTGTTTGATAGAACGACACAAAGGCAAAACGAATTATCTGAAACTTTTGCACATGTACTTGCACAATCGCCATTACGTACTTTACAAGAGTCGCTGGTCGTTTAATTTCAGCAAATAATGATTAAAGTACAACGGTTAAAAAACAGGAAAATATGGAAGTTCAATGTTTCCTTAAGTTGGGTATGTAAAATAAATGTACATTTTATTAGTTGATGTTATCGGGTACAACCGTAGATATAGTGAAGAGTGGTTCTTGAGTCTGCTGAATGGGTAAAACGACCGATGAAAACTGGTGTGAAAATGAATGGATGTTTCACCGGATGACATAATCCTGCCCAAACCTGTAATGCATTTTAGCCCTCGGCCGGCACGATATTGAAAGCTGTTCATTAAAGATTATCCTCATCTCATGGTGTAGATCTCTTACCACATGTTTTTAATGCGTTTATCGTTTCAACAAGTGTATAATACTGGATGTAATACTGCTTTCACCTTGTGCCGTAACATAAGGCCAAAAAAAAATAGTCGGTCTCTGGTCAGACCGAAGTTCCGGAATTGATTGATGGTTTTTTTGTTTTTTTTGGGGGGTGGCTTTTTTTTTTTTCAAGCTTGAATTGTACAGACAAGGTGGGCACTAATTTGCTTTTTTGTGTCCTCATGATACATTTGTGTCCTCCATAATTTGCCTTGGTGCCCTTTATCGTTTGCCTTGGTGCAATTTCCCCATTCCTTGGTGCTCCTTGGTACAAAAATTTGAGGAGGTGCGGTAATAGAGGGCGCTGTTGTAGCCTCCGTATTAATTTGAAGAAAAAAAGGTTGACTCGCATGATTAAAATCGACGCGCGCGCTGACCAGAGACCGAGTTTTTTTTTTTTTGGCCTAACACGAGAAATAATAAAGTGTTGGAACATGCACGGGATGGACAATACTGCTGTATGTCGCATGGTGGTCCCTTATAAAATTATATCCCTTATAAATTACTATGCCTATTTGGTTTTGTGCTGGTCCCAAATTCTAGCGTCCTCTTTGTACCTATCTGACTGACTGACTCATTAACTGACTCTCACGTGTGGGCTGGGCAGTGCTATCGTAAAGGATAACCCCGTAACGCCAATGAATATAGACCTTATTCACGAGGAAGCCATTTTTGATCTTGTCCCCTGAATGTATCGTATAAATTGTAAGCCGTTGAATGGGATGGTGCCCGACTATTTATGTGTTCCAGCCTAACTTTCAGGGTTTTTTAAATGTGGCTTAAATATTCGGGTGTGTTTAATCACACATTTTTAATTATTCATCAGAGCAGACTTTTATTAATTTGTAATTAACTTTATTTCACTGCTTTCTTTGTCTATCCCACGTGCCTGAAAATTGTGCCGTTAAAAAAAGTTCAAGTAATTACTACGATATACAAAAATAACAGCGGAGTTCAAAAAAAAAATGTTACAGCAATGGCATCGTCGGTGAATTTAGACATTATCTTGTCGCAATCGTAAACAAAATATCAGAAACAAAACGGTTTGACCGCTTCCAATGATGTATCAATTTATATATTACATTTGGGGCGGAGGAGAGTGTAACAATTGGTTGGGTATATTGGGTCCCCCCCCCCCCCTCGGCAACTGGCTCCAATTTTAAAGCCTTTGATTTATATCGCCTCTGCGGGCGCATTATATTGTTGTCGGCGGTCTGTACCATTTCTTCTATAAAGATATATTAATCACAAATAAGGAGAAATTGGAAATTTCTAAGTTAATACAATAATGGTTCTGCGCAGACGAGACAAAAACGAATGTTCAGTGACGGATAACATGTGCTCATTGGTTTGATTGCGTGTTTGCATTCGATTTGAAACTGACAAAAACAAAATTAAACAGTGTGTAAACATTAACTAGATCGATTTTGCTGGACCAATTCGCACATTTCTATTGTTAAATGAGAATGATAAATCGTTTGAAAATTAAGCCTGCGGGCGGGGTTTAAATACACGCGCCTTTTGAAAGGGGAAATGAAACTCGCCTCAAATTCTGCAGTCATCTTGTCGTACATTTGTTTTTTTGTTCCATGTTGGTGAGAGATTTATCACGCTTTTGTGAGGCATAAAGTCACCGAATGTGTGGAACAATACATTCATCCACGCTGATGCATTCGTTGATTTTTCTGTAGGATGTTTTGTACCCAGATTCAGTTGCCGTGAGTAATGCTGTGACAGCCTTCTTTGGCAAGCTTTAAACACCTATTGAAACGGGATTGGGACACTTGGTACACTTTCATACAAGCGTCTTTACAAATCGTATGTCCGCCGACAACGAGGTTCATCTCAACACAGATTTTGTAGGGCTGTCCACTCTTTGACGCTGTTGATATAACCGAATGCCGTCTCATCTGCTCTAATATATGAAATTGCGTTGCAATGCTTCGTTCAAACTGTTAAATTCGTCGTGACACTTGGTGATATCATTTACGCTGAGGTTCTTCATACAATTTTTGTCACAACGACATGTCTTTTTGAGAATGGAGAGAGCAGATGATACATCTTTTCTGCTCCGTTTTGATGCATAGTGTACTGACTGACTCACGATGTCATTACATGCGCCTGCATGTATTTCTGCGTCTGATTTGTTTTCAGATTGTGGGATTTCGAAATATGAGTCCGTCAGTGTCCTATCCGGCGAAGGGCTTGAGTCATTCGACGGAAACGTGTGTTCTTTTAGCGAGTGGGCTAGTATTTCCGTGTGAAGATGATGCAATCCACTCACTCTCCAATTCGTCTGAAAGTTCGAAATACGATTCATTCAGTGTTACGTTTCTTTGTAGATTCGAATCATTCGAAAAACAAGCCAGATAGCCCTCGGCATTAACTTCTCGCCTTGTTTTTAGCGGTGTCGATGTGAATTGCGGTGGTTGAGTCCTTACCGGTGTCTGATACAAATCAGTTACAGCAGGTCCATGCGAAGAGCAATAGTCCAAAGTATGAATCCGTAAGCGTTTGGTTTTTCG